TTCTTTTCTTATAGTAAATACCCTGTATATAAATGATTGCAAATGGAATGTGAAAATTGAATAAAATATTTCAAATGCTATGCCTCTAGGACAGGGGTCAGCAAACTGTGGCTCTGGAGCCGCATGTGGCTCTTTTCTCCCTCTGCTGCGGCTCTGTCACTGGTTGGCGCCACAATTTTGAGAGGACCTTCTGGTGGGGAGGGGGGAGCACAGTGTGCCAGGAGAAGACACTATGGCAAGGGGAAGGTTTTCCAGTTGTCTCCACAATTGATAGGACTTTTGGTTATGACAGGTAGAGGAAAAAGTATGCTGCACTAAGGAGGAGACTCTATGGTGAGGGAACTGAACCTCTGGTCAGCTCCAGAACTGAACAGGGGGCTTCTGGTTAGGACCTTTGTGGCTCCCAGTGTTTTCTTTTCTGTGGGAAACGAGTCCAAATGGCTCTTTGAATGTTTAAGTTTGCCGACCCCTGTTCTAGGACACACCACTTTTCCCAACTACAACAATCCTATACTGCAGGCTGAGCTAAAATGACTAACTAATTGAAACTCACCAAGTGATTTTTCCAGATTTCAATGAGTTACTTCTTGGAATTTCCCTGTCCTAATCTAGTCTATTAACCAGCACATCATGCTGTCTTTTCATTCTGCATAATATATTACTGTTTTTCATTAATGGTACATTTATTATTGAAATGCAATAAAGGTTTGCAATAGGGTCCCATCATCATTTATTTCCTTAGCATGCATTCCTCAGACATTCTTTTGGATATGACTGCACTAGACGAGCAAACCTCCAGATCCTGGATAGTCAGATTCTCCTCTACATAGCTGGCAGCCAGTTAGTTCTCCTGGATATGAAATCGAACTACCAGAGATACCTTCGAAGCACAGGTGGTGGAGGGATTGGTGTAATCACGGTATGACATATATCTTAAAGATTTTTTGGTTAAATTCTTTTCGGCAGAAAAATATGCAGAATTTTTAATGGGTTTTGCTACCCTTTATATTTGTTGCTTTTGTTTAACAGAACAAAGAGAAAAAAAGGAAAAGCATATAGTAGTGTTTCATGCATGTATGTATAGGCAGCGTTTTACTCAACGGTTTCAATAAACATTTATCATATTTCAATATAATCTTCCATATGTAATTGACATCTGTAAACATCTCATTCAAAAGTCACATCAGTTCTCAACTCCATTTATTATTTATTTTTCTGTTGGAGAAGTTCTTAGGAGTATAAAGAACAGAGAACCCAATTCTGTTGTCCAGGTAATTTCCATGTAGTAACGTAGTAAAAAAAAAATCTTTTTAAAGATAAAATGGGTATTTCCAACGGTTTATTTTGGATGGTTTTAGTCAGCATAAATTTTTTTCCTAAGCTTTTTGAGAATGAAGATACATAGCAACTTTAGTTAAGTGGATTGTTGTAAGTTTGTTGTAAATATACATTTGTTGTAATTCCTGACCTTGTTATATCAATTTGAATACTGTGGCACAGTTTTGGAAAATTGCATTTTGTTCCCCCCCCCCCCCCCCCCCCGCCCCGCTTGTGTTATTGTCGGAAGAACTTCTGGGTTGAAAGGATTAGCTGGTGATATCAGCATTGCCTGGGAGACCACCCAGTTGAGGCTCCTTTCCTGTTCCTGTTAATGTGCTCACCAAAGTGGTTCCTTAACCATCTACTAGGAAGTAAAAAGCTAGGGCTGAGAAAGAGTCACTGTCCCAAGATCATTCAGCTGAGTGTTGGTGTCTTAACCACTATAACCAAACTTACTCTCTAATTATACAATATTGTAGAAATAAGATAAAATAAAACAGTTGTTGAAAACTTAACAAGAATTGGTTTTAGAGAAAAGCTCTGAGAAAATGGACCACTGGTTCTCATTATTCATAGAGATTCCATTCCAGCATAAAACAACACACACACACATTTTCCCTCTTATTTCCATAGTGATGGTCTGTAAAAGTATTTGTGTTTGCTCCTGCTCTTCATTACAATGCAGCAAATTAGTGTTGAGTCAACTCAATCACAAGACTCTGAGGTTTCCTTGTGGTAGCCAGTCACCTTTGTCCTGACTTGCTCAACAATCAATGAAGGAATTTCCTTGCTACATGCATAGCTCATGCTGCCTTCTTTTTCACTGTCTTCCTCTAGGGACTGCTTAATTGGGTCGCTGTTTGCTATTGTCACTAGCATTCACAGGCATGATCATGAAACCCCTCCACCAAGATTGTGAAAAAACACATAGTGTGGAGTAGGTCTAATGTGTGCACAGATGATATAATCCTATCCCTTAAAATCCCATTTGTACAAAATCTTATTTTGTATGTGTATTAAGTAACAAAAATAAGGCCAAAACCATGGATTTTTAAAAATGTGTATACTGATGTTTGATCTCTCTAAACCAATCATGGATATGCAATGCTGTGGATAATAAGGACCATTTCTATTTCTAAATACTGCTAATATTTAAAATCCATTTCTTAATTTAGAACCTATTTTAGAATGAGGAACAGTAGAAAGCCAAATTTTTCTTTGTCTTTGAGTCTGCAATTCCTGAAGGGAAAAGGTTTGTGCTTAATGGTAGTTCAGGGTTATATTGGTTACTGAAAGAATAAAGGAACAGTTTGATTTTGCTAATTTTATTGTTTTATGTAAGCCAAATATGGGACCCTTTCAGATTGCAAGAAGATTATGATTAAATGAAAAATATCTTCAATTAGGCACACCCAGACAGAACTCATTTTGCAGTAGGAGAAAAAGGTTGGAAGCCCAACATGGTTATCTATGAATATCCTTCTTTAAAACCATACAGAATATTACGAGGTAGGTTAAAATATAATAACTTTCACAGTTTGAAATAATACAGAAGAATAAACTGTTTTAGAACTGAAAGCAATATTATATTTTAATTTCTTGAATAAATATATGCTCTTTTGCAAAGAGCACCCATATTTTGTTTAAAGGCAAAGAACATAATTTCAATTAAAAAATTAAAAATAAAAGAAAAAGAAATGGAGATTGGGTAAAAAAAACCTAAATATTGAAAACATGGTAATAAATTAAGAAGGTGTCTCCTGCTTTCAAAGTATATTTTTGTTATTTGAGTTACTATTTAACCAAAAACAGAGAGACAGTGTATGTATTTTACTTCATTTCACTTCATTTTTCTAGTGTAATTTAAATTTTAAAATATACAAATGGTACATCTGACTTTTCGCAGCTGACAAATCATGCTCTGTAGCATCTTCTAGAAGTTATTGCACTTATTTTTATTTGCTTAAATCAATGTATTTTACAATTACATTGATATTTAGAACTGAACATAAAATATATCATGTCACATAATTTATATTCAGTTTTATGTACTAATAGTGAACTCATTTTCAAAGTGCTGAACTTTCTGTATTAAAAATGGCAACACCTCTGGGCTGGAATCAACGTTTCCTAGACCTACAGAGAAAGCTCAGAAAGTAAATCCTCATGGGGTACTCCCCCAACACTCAAAATTTAGTAAAGATCTGAGTATTCTCCATTGCTAGAAAAAATTGATTGGGGAGATGGGTGTAGGGGGAAGAGGATTGGAATTAACTAGATTATTTGGGAAAAATCATGGCTAGCTGACAAGAACTCCAAACAAGCCAACAGTTAATTGAAAGTTCTTCTCCTAACTTTTCATTTAAATTAGAATTCTGTTGGATATTCTTTGAATGCTAATTCTGAGAAGAAAGTGTAGGACATAACTAGGACATGCCAAGCTTTCAAGTGATGATAGAACCTCTGATCATGAACGCTTCTGACCGTGACCAAATCGGGTTCTGACCAAAAAATTCATAATCCCCCCCTCCCACGGGCTGATTTCCCCTTCCACGGCATTTTTTTTTTGTAAGCACCAAATTTCCTAAATGAGGTTTGGGTCACAACCAAATTGGTTTGTGACCAAAGTTATGGAACAAATTATGGTTTGACCAGAGATTCTACTGTATTTGTTTTATAGCATCAAGGAGCAGAACCAGGGGTATCTTTTCCCACTAGTATTATCTCATCAGATCATTTGCACATCCTATTAAAAATAGGTACTTTTAATTCCTACCGCACACTCAACCACACCCTGTACACACATACATGCTTTGAAAGCAAGTGATTATTTTCCATTTTTTTTGGTTTATTTATATTTTTAAAATTCTTATTTCAAGATTGTATGTGCCACTTATCAAACCTAATAGCTGATACGACTGGTAAATGGGTATGTTTTCATGATCACACACATTATGATGAGAAACTGATTGTTTTGCTTTATTTCCAGGTGGAACAGAACAGTCATATGCATTTGCTGACTTTAACCGTTCTGGCACCCTGATAGCCACTGTAGGGGGTAGCCCGGACTATACATTGACAGTCTGGGACTGGAAACAAGAAAAGATTATATTGAGATCAAAAGCATTTTCACAAGATGTTTATAAAGTCACTTTTTCTCCTGAAAATGAGGAACAACTTACTACTTCTGGTTCAGGCCACATCAAGTAAGCAAACTACCCATTTTTTAAAAATAGATTACCAGAAAGGTATCTATAGAGGAAATGATACGAGCCTGATTCAGCCGCTGTAGCCTTTGTCCCCCTACAATGATAATACTTCGGGCACTGCTACTGTTACCCTAAGCTACCCCACCAACCACCTAACAGCATCTAATATTTCTTTAATCAGCAAAAGAGAATCTCACTTTAGTCCTTGCTTTTTTCTTATCGTATTAGATTTTTTCAGGGGATGGGGTGAGAAAAAAGCCAGGGAACAGCTTTCTTTTCATTGACAAGAAGAGAAATAAAGTGCTGCAAGGAAATTAAAATGCAACATAATTATTTCCAGGAAGTGGGAAACCCAGAAGAAACACAAAGCAGGAATGCTTGTTAACTGGAAGCCTTAGTCCACCCACCCAAGAAAACTTTGCACAATCATTGTTGTGGTACTTTCTCTGTAGCAGGAGCATAGCTAATTAACTGTTAATCTGCCAAGTTTTTAAAGATAACTGAACACCCATTTGGTTTTGTGCAGATACTCAAGGGCAGCATCAGCATTGGATCAAATTTTGTGCATAGAATACAGTGGTCTGTTTCCTGATTAAAAAAAAAATTGTGTAGATATGTTAATAGCAGTATTGTGTATATAAAACACTGAATCACAGAAAGATGATAAACTATAGTTTAAAGAAATATAAAGTATTTAAGTCCATAAAGACATTGCAATAAGCTGCCCAGAGTCATCTCTAGGCCATATGGGCAGCATACAAGACAAATAAAAAATTGATCCATTTTGAAAACATCTCCGCTTGTCTTTGTTTTTCTGACTTAAGTCCTATTGGAGAGTTGAGTAGTTTTGGTTTAGTGTGAGATAGTGTGTCCCATGCCAAAGAGCTTTTGCCTCAATCTTTTTCTAACCCTGAGCTTCATGTAGTGTAAATAAAATGTTCCCTTGCAGCTCTTTCAAAGTCACCCAAACAAAAAAAGCAAAAAAGGAACTGAAAAGAATTTTGACAACTTCTTTGTTGCTTACTTTTTGTTGGTAACCAAGAATGCAAAATGCCACATTGCTTAGCTTTTTTTTGTTTTTAATTTTCTTAGAAATTGTAAGTTGTGAAAATTGGCAGTTGAGTTATTTTGTTGCTGTATAATTTGCAGTAACTAGGATAGACAGTGATGTTTACTCTTTGTTCTTAGCATAACCAACACTAACATATAAGACGTAAATGAAAATGCTCTTAATTCCCATTGATTGATGACAAACATATGCAATGAATTAGATAGATAGATAGATAGATAGATAGATAGATAGATAGATAGATANTGCACTCCGTGCACGTGCGCAGAAGCACCAAAGAGCTCAAATACAGGTAAGGAACTTGGGCGGGCCCTCCGGAGCACCATACCGGAACGGTACCTAGTGCTCCAGGCAGGTACCGGTGCACCAGTACACCCGTACCGGGGGGGGTACTGCCTGCAACCCACTACTGGACTACCTGTATACGAAGATTTGAAAGAGAATATATTTTTGAAAAGAAAAAAGGATAGTGTTTGAAGAAGCAAAAATGAAGACCAACATAGAAGCATCACAGCTGTGACCTGCAGTATTATTGGATGTTTGTATAACTACCTGAGGAAAACCTTCATATCTTTGCAATGAATAGTATTCATAGCAGTGCTTAAAGGAAAAAAAATTGAAGGAAAACAGGAAAAAAGGAAAAGGTTTAAACACACTTAAATAGTTGAAATGAGACTACAAGTAGGAAAATAATGACAGTAAGAGCAATTTGATAATAGAACCAATCATCCAGAGGAGTGGATCTCCTCTCAATGTATTTCAAACAGAGGTTAGACAGCCATTTGAGTTGTTTGAGTAGTTTGATTTGTATTTCTGCAGACTAGAGTTTGTATTTCACATTATATTTCAATATAATATTACGTTTTGGAAATAAAATGTCAATCACAATTTGGTTAAATTGTTCTTTATTCGTATCAACTACTTTATGTATCATAAATTTTCATAGATTTAGGAGATGTTTTCTCAAAGTACCTTATTAATGCAAACATTTTTTTTCTAAGGTGAATCCCAAAGGAGGTATAATTGCTGTAGGTTTCCAGGATGGCATTGTTCGCATAATTGAACTTTATAATCCCAAAGGACTACCTGTCATTGCTGGACGGGAAAATACAGGAGATGCGGCCTTGCGTCTGAAACAGGCTTTTAAACCTCATGTGTCTGTAGTTACAGCTTTGGCTTATGAACGTAATGGGGAAATACTAGCCACAGGGGTATGTATTGACTTTTCTGTGAATACCTGTTAATAAGCCACATGAGAAAGCATGCAGGGAAAAATAGGACTTGGTATTTTTGCTTTATGATCAAGTTCTAAAATAGGATCTGTAGCCTTAGACCTAAGCTATGTTGATTTTGTAGTGGAATTCAGGTGATTAAGAAGTTTGACCTGGAACGAATTTGAGGGAAGCAATGAGTTCACATGTATTACTTTGCAGTTTGCTAAGATAATGGAGGTACATTTCTGATGACCCTCTGTTGCAAAGAAAAATGACTAATGATTGGTCTTGGACATATGCAAAATATTCAATGCATGATTTTACTAACAATCAAGTTTTTCTATTTCAGAGCAAAGATAAAACTGTTTTCTTCTTTACTGTTGAAGACAAATATGATCCTATTGGATTCATTAGTGTTCCAGGACCAGTACAGGCATTGCAATGGTCACCCCATTCCCATGTGAGTAGCTAATTTGCTTTTGTTATATATGAACCTCATGTTTGTTAATTTTGCTATGTACAATGATCTAGTGTTGTAAGAGTTAAGTTGTATTATTTAAATAAATATACATTTACATATTTATCTAAATATGTTCTAAATGATTTAATGAATATTTTAATGATAGTAAAGATTATAATTTTTGGACCAATGTGCATTTATTTTCATGTGCTTTTATATTTCATCTGCCTTTTTCCCATTTACTTAACTGGAAGAGATTTATTTGTTTTTAGTTTCACTATCGTGGTAATACTAAAAAGACTACATTTGGAAACTTTTGTCTCTGAAGAGACAGAAATAGACATAATTAAAAGTTTTTATTTCGGATCCAAGAAATAGGAAAACATGAATTTGAAGTATCTTTATATGTTCTAATAATTTTTCTGGAGTCATATACCCAAAATATATCAATGTATAAAGAATTTCCACAAAAATAGGTTTTAAGGGGCAGCAGGGTGTAGCAGTCAAGATGCTGGACTAGGAGTTGGGCAATTCAGGTTCTTTCTTAGGCACAGCAGCCAGCTGGATGACCTTAAGCCTCTCAATCTTTTCAGCCCAAATCAGCATCAGGCTTTGCAGCAAGCCTAGTTAAAAACAAACTATTTTTGCATTATGCATTTGTAGCATTGCTCCCAAAACTAGGAAAACATAGTACAAAAACAAGGGGAACCTGCATTATGCGGGACAAAAGCTATAACATAATGGCATGTTTTCTTTGTTATAATAAAGCCTATTTTTGTCCTATTTTTCAAAATCAACACACACACACAAACACACACACACACACACACACACACGTAGTAACGTGCAGTCAGGGGAAGCAGAGCCTCACCTCACCACTGTCATCATGAAAAGAAAAAAAAATGTAAAAGGAAAAAGGCTGAGGTAGTTGCTGCCAGAGTCACAGTGGATGATTCTGCTTAGTGCTTAACTGTTTAAAAAAGCCTCTAAAAAAGTGCCCTCAACAGGAGGAGGCGGGAGAACCACGTGCCTCATNAGTCCATTCTTAAGCTTTTTTTTCACTCGGGTTTTTTTTTAGTATTTAATTAATTCTGGTTTTTTGTTAGTCTGATCCTAGGCACCCTATCTTTAACAATAATTTGGAAAAATAAAGCTATCTAGTTGTTTAAAACTTTGGATTGTTTTCCCAAATCAGATTTTGAGGAAATCATATTTAGTCATAAGCGCATTTATTGATTTGGCTGAAATGGTACAGTGGTTGACTAAAAATTATTTTTTTTAATCATTCTTCACAACTGTATAGAAGTGTGTAGAAGAGTTAAGGTTGTTTTGTAAACAACGATCTATCTTTACAATTATTTTGGTGCTACAAAAAGGCTGACATAATTCTACTGGAAGTACTAATTCTAACATAATTTTCATGGTTGTTTTATCCAGGTTTTGGAGAATGGCTCTCACTTTTACTGGCTTGAAATTACAAGGGGCATTGGGTAGGTTTGGAAAGACATCACTGACAGATATTGAAGGATATGTGGAGCTGCCAGATGGTAAGGTGAGAAGCGTTTTCTTTCTTAAACTTTTCGACATGATGAATCCCTTAGAATCCAGATTGAAGTGAAGAAATATATTTTTGTTTTCTGGCATTGCTAAAAGTTAGACTTAAACAATGTGATTTTTAAATAGTTCTATAAAGTAACATTTGGGTGAGGAGTCATTTTTATTTATTTCGAAAATTTACCACCTAAAACCTAGTGAACTTCAGTCAGAAATTATGTTGCCTGCAGATGGCATACTCATGTTGCAGTATTTTATTGTTAACTTCCTCCCATTTACTACTGCTTTCCAAAGCAAGGGCTGAACTATATTCAATATCACAGAAATGGCTGCAGTAAGTAATGAGGATTGACTCCACACTGCATGATGTACAATATCTTGCATGACTGAATGAATGCACTTTCTGATGTGATAATGCATTGTTGGATATAGCCCTATATTTCTACAGTATGCTGGCTTTCAATGCTGACAATTTTGCACTAAAAATGACACCAAGTAATAGCATTCCAGTACATCAGCCATAATAGAGTAACTTTCCTTGAAATGAAAACTAGATTGCCTAGTAAGGCTACCTAGCTGAAATAATTCTTTCATGATCTCTAAAATAGAAAATCTTCTTGTCACGTTCATCAGCACCTGTTCCATCTCTGAAGGTAGAAACATCTGGAGAAGAAACTCAGATAAAAATCTCAGGCCATAGAATGTATATAATGTATTGACTATTGATTCCAGTTGGATAGTGTCACCGATCTGTTATTCATGTGATAGAGGCATGTATGGAAAAAATGTAAAATGTAAAGTTTTTTATTATTATCAATAAAAGTATAATTTTTTTAAAAAAAATCTCAGGTTATTAGGGTGGAGATTAGTATTACTGCATGTATTATTTGTCCCCTATAACATAAAATTGCCGAGCAGATACAGGTTACCTCTTATCCATGAACCAAATTTCCTCATTGGGGTTTCCCATATATCCTTCTTTAGAGCAATGTATTTGACAAATCATATTATAAAATTCTAATACTTGTGAAGTAGGATGTTCTTTTCTTTATATTTCCAGCTATATTTCCATTCTGACCTTCAAATCTGAGGGGAAGAATGCTATTAACAATACTTTTGGGGAAATGTAGCGACTGAAACCCAATAAATATATTCTAAAATGTGGGAAAAGCAGGTTGTCTTATGATATGGAGTGGGCAAATCATGGGGGGAAATTGAAAAAGTCCACTGGGAATATCCAAGGTCTTTGATACATTTGGCAGCTGTTTGCATCATGGCTGATGTCAACTATTAATGTCATATAACAGAACATGTCTGTAGTGCTTTGCCAAATTGCCAGATACACTCTTCATCAATACAAAGTTTTCTTCTTAGAATTTTTCTAGCACACAAAGACAGAAGTCTTTTTTATAGGAAAATTATAAAAAAAATACTTGCTTCAGTAATAGCAAGTATTACGTTTTTTACAACGTCCCTACTGGGAAACACATCTGGATTTATGATACTAATTAATATTGTTTTATTGTACTCCAGGTACTTTCAGGTTCAGAATGGGGTAATTTGCTTCTTTGGGAAGGTGGACTCATAAAAGTGGAACTCTGCCGACCTGGCCATAAAAATTGTCATAGTGGTCCTATTAGTCAGTTAATTCTGGATGAAGGAGAAGTGTTCACTGTTGGAACAGATGGATACATTAGGGTAAGATGTGTTTTTTTCAAAATAAGTGTACTAATACTGCAAAAATATCTTGTACTCAAGCTTATTTATAATTTTAAAGCAGGAATCATCAGGCAGCTATATAAATTTAATAAATTTACTATTCTACATTTATATTCTATAAATACTATTCTGTTCAGAAGCGGTTATAGAGAGTGCTGTTTGCTAATAAATTCTATAGAAATAATGTTCATTAAACTCATACCTAGGAATTAATAACTTTAATCTTTCAGAAAAGTATTTTACAGGGTAAATGCCACCACAGAAAAGATTCTTTGCAGTAAGGATTAGGGTGAGGGGGAAGTGACAGATCTCATTTTTTTTTTGCCAATATCCTGACAAATATGATATCTCAAATGTTGTTATTAGTATATTAAGGCTAAACATATTAACTTTTTTGTTACTGTCCTAATAGCATCTCTTGAAATATAAATAGCTCTAGAGCAGGATTGTCAAACTCAATTTCATTGAGGGGCACATCAGGGTTATGTTTGACCTTGGTGGGGGGGCAGTGGGTGTGTGGCCAGTTCAACATCACTCGTGTTGGGGTGCCTGTGGTTGCCTGAGCATTTTGCTAGCGAAAACGGGCTCCTGAGCTCCATTTTTGGCTGCGATGGCTTCCTGCAACCCTCTGGCAGTGAAAATGGAGCTCAGGAGTGCTGCCTGTAGGCTGGTCCTTTGCTGCTTCCAAGGCAGCCCCATGGGCCAGCACCCCGTGGGCTGGCTCCTAGGCCTTGAGTTTGACACCCCTGCTCTAGAGGGATTTATTTGTCAGACAGTACCATGAGAAAAGCTCCTCCTCCTCCTCCTCCTTCTACAAAGTTCTGGCTCTTGCTCTTCTGGTGGTCTCAACCATTGTTAATTGGGACATATGACTAATATCTGTTTATTTGTCTGATTGCTTGCTTATCTTATAGCTGCAGTTTTTCATATCCAAAAAGTCCTTTTGAACTATCACTTTTCTGAGATTGTTCTGTCATGATGCTTTAGCAGTTGAAAACAATAACAATCTCCTTTTTCCTCCAAATCTTTTGTGAAGGTTTGGGATTTTGAAACAATAGACACAGCTGATGTTGTGGATGATACTGGACTTGTAGAGATGGAACACATAAATGAACTTTTAGTAGGCAAAAATGTCAGTCTGAATTTTATGATGAAAATTCATGAACGGGGAGAACCATATTGGTATGCTCAGGTGAGAGGTTTTCTAATAATTAGTGAACAGACAATTCAGTACTGATGATGTCAAGAATGCCAAAGGGAAGAATTTTTTTTAGTATCAATTGAAATATCACTAGCTTTTTACTCCCAATTGCTTTGTTCACACAATCATAAGTCAGGTTCTACAAACGCCACTGACTTGCACTGTCAGATTTATGCATATTAAAAGCAATACTTCCTTTGGTATTAAAATGCACAGTTCTACCATGGCATCGGTATGATAAATGTTAGATGGTTCTATATTCTGTATCTTCATATTCCTTTTAATAAAGAAATATTTAACTGGAATGAACAGGTGAAATTGTGTAAGACAAGATTTTTTACCCTCACTTTTATAACTTTAAAAAAGCTTTTAAATTACGGGTGTCCAACCTTTTGGCTTACCTAGACCTCTAGGCCTCATTGAGTGAAGAAAAATAGCCTTGGACAACATTTAACATATATAATATAGTTCATGTATACAAATAACAAACTTGCAGTTATTTTTTTCAAAATCAGAGCTATGCTTTTAAGAGAAAAAAATGGAATAATAACCAAGTACTATTACAATTATGCTTCTTTAGGATTTCAATGGTGCTATATGGAAGCTTGATTTAAGTTTCTCGAATGTCGTAAGTTTTACTTCATATTTCCTTTTTCTGCTGTATCCTTCCATTATGTGATATATGTGATGAATAAATAAAATTACATTTGCAGTATCATTAGTAACTAGTGTTATTTTAAAGCATATTTAAAGCCACTAGTAATTTTAAGCGACAGTATTTTATATTTATATTATAAAAATTGAAAATAGAAAAAAGTAATAGAAGTTAGAAATACCAAATTTAAAGATATGCCCTCTCAAGCCATTATATTACACTCTATAATGAAAAGGACAAAAATAAAAGAAAATCAGAGTTCTTTATATTATAACATTAATATAAATTCTTAAGTTCCTGTAGGTAGAAAGGTAAGATGTAAATAATAACAGATGAAATATTTTACAATTGATGGATATTTTTCTTTAAAAGTTTAGAAGAAATATCAATCCTGCCAAAGCTCCAATTGCAATAATTATATGCAATGTGTAATTTAATAACAATAATAATTTATGAGATATTAAATCAGAAAGACATTTTTAAATATAGAAACCTATTTAATAGAACATGTTTCTGGGTGTATGAAAAAATTAATCAAGCCTACAGTTAGAGTTAAGATAAAATAAGTAATGTATTTATTTTTATTTATTTGTTAGTTTTATTTATATCCTTTGTTATTTTTATAAATAACTGTAGGCAGTGAACATATCTAATACTCCTTCCTCCTACTGTTTTCCCCAAAACTACAACCCTGTGATGTGGGTTGTGCTGAGAAAGAGTGACAGGCCCAAGATAAATAGTATATGTNTATATATATATATATAATATACACACACACACACACACACATACACACATACATACATACATACATACATACATACATACATACATACGAGTAAAGCATGGTTGGAGCTGCCGTCTTTCTATAAATCTTGGTGCGGGTGTGTGGATTGCTGACTTTGTTTCAATAAGTGGATTGATTGGTTGTGTAGTTGCACTGAGTTTTTTGTAGATTAGGACGTCCAGAAAGGGAAGTTGGTTGTTAGCTTCTATTTCCATAGTGAATTATATTTTGGAGTGTAGACTGTTGAGATGTGTGAGGAAGTTGTCCTGTTTTTCTTTCCCATGTGGCCAAATTACGAAAGTGTCCTCTACATATCTAAGCCAGAGTTTGGGTTTGTGTTCAGAGTTATCTAAGGTGTTAGTTTCAAAATGTTCCATGTATATATTTGCGATGACGGGTGAGAGGGGTGATCCCATGGATGCTCCTTCTATCTGTTTGTATCTTTGTCCATTAGGGATGAAGTATGTGTTGGTTAGGCAGTGGTTGGTCAGGTCCAGGATAGAGAAACACCCCCACAACATGAATAAATGTGACAATACCTCCTACCTACCAGACATCTGGAAACCAGCCCTAGTCAGCAAACAAGCTCCACTCACCAGCCTGGCCATTACAACACAAAACAACAATGGACACACAGCCAGCACCAATTAGCACCAAGCTACCAATCATGATAGAACTACACAGTCAATCAATCCACCTACTGAAACAAAGCCAACACTCCTCCCCCCCAAGATATATAGAAAGACGGCAGCTCCATCCACGCTTTACTCACACAAACACGAAGCCGAAAACACCAGCCTGAAGATGGCGAGTGAGACCTCGCCGAAACCTTGCCAAGACAATCTCAATCTTACATGGGAAAAGATCCGAATACAACAAGACCAGCATACCTACACTCGTGAAAATCTACGAAAACAATTAAACATTATTTATATATAAATATAAAAACAGACTAATTAAACATTCTGGAGGTGATTTATGTAGTAAAAATGTAGTGTCAAGACATAACGTTTTCAGTTTTGTGTAATAGATTGTGAACTTATTTTTAGAAATTTTAACAGATTAACATTAGTACTAAAAGTTCATCATTCTAAATACTTGTTTTCTGTCATACATGTAATTTAAAATTCAAATATTGTATTTTACATGAAAATAGGATCGCTCAGAGGAAAAATGTTTTATATTTTTAATGAAATAAACAAAAAGGTTTGAGCAGCCTCTTCTGTTACTGAAGTTCACTGTTGTGTCTTGTTATGTCTTAATATGTAGAACCATATTAAGTATGGTCTTAATATGTAGAACCATATTAAGTAATAAGTTTTTCATTCCTTCAAGAGCCTAATCTTACACTGAATTTCATTGGTTCTATAAAGAGAGAAAAGGAAATTAACCGCAGAGAAAAAATTAAACAACAGAAGGAGAAAGAAAAGCAGCAATGGATCCAACAACAGCTGGACAGGGGGAAAACACTAGAAGAAATAGAAATGCCTGAAGAAGTGCCCGTCGAAGAGGAACCACTTCCAGAAATCTATATCCCAGAAACTCCAAGTCCTATCCTTTGTGGGTTTTACTCTGATCCAGGGAGATTCTGGTTATCATTGGTAAATGTTATTCATTTAAATCATTAAATTTAAATTATAGTTCTTAAATGATTTTTTTTTTCTTCTGTGAAAGGGCATAAATTAAATAATGTCAAATTTTGGAACTCAAGTATTTTTCTTAAGTAAACCCAAATGTCCGCAAATAGCACATAAGGTTTTAAATTCTTCGGATCCCTTCAACAGACTTAGTTGTAAATTGGGAAAGGGTGAAAGTTTGGTGAAAAGGTGTCTTGATGCCAAAATCAATAACTTTGTCTAGGTATTGACCATGTGGGATGAGACATTTACATTAGTTTTGATTAAGTACTATGAAGTGGTGAGGGCTAGTCCGCCCTGTGTAGTATACCTTGGAAAGCACGAGCATGAACCCAATGGGTTAGCAGTCTTAGGAAGCCAAACTACTTACTCTGTCTTACCATTATAATCTCTTGGCTAATGTAACCATAATCGGCATATGCTAAAATAAGTAAATAAGATGCTAGATTGCTTCAGGCTGTGCTCAGAACTTAGCTTAAGATTTCAGGAATGAAAAAATAAGGCTTCGAGATAGATGTCCTGCTCAATTATCAAACTATAAAAAGCAACTGCTGCCTAGATCTGTCTCTATCTTTAAACAAAGTACAAATTCCTAGGTGGAGGGGAAAAAAGAGTTTTCCTCTCTGTTTTATAGAGCTCTTTAAGTAGCTTTGGAAAACTCATTTAGCTCTATTGCATTCCAGATTTATTGGCAGTTTTTAATGCAGGGAAAGGATTCAATCATCTTGTGTTTTCTTAGCAACACCATTCCCATTGCTGATTTGACATTGCACTGTTCCACACAACCCCCAATACAGGATTAATATTTAAATGGAAAGATGCAAAAGGAAAAAAAAAACCATTAAATGTGAACATATGTTTCAGATATATAAGAGTTGCCTATATCTTTCCATGCTACTGAGCCAGCTCGCTTTTCATTTTAACAGAGCTGAAAAGTTTGTTTACAAAAAACAGGAAAGGAAAGGAAAGGAAAAGAAAAGCACAGCCTTCTCTGCACTTCCAAAGGAAGAACATTTGTATATTAATTAGATGGTATTTGTGTATTAATTAGGTGGTATTGCCTTTCATGGAACCCTTTTGTGAAAAAGTGGAGGACTGGACTCAACTGTAGTAGGTTTATTCACAACTGGGTGTCGAATGAATGCATGAATATGAAACAACTATAATATTTTCACAAAACTTCCAATAACTTCTTACAACATTTTCTTTTTCCCCAGGGAGAATATGACACAGGATTTTTGTATCACTGTGCATTTTCCTCTGAGCAGCAAAAAGATCCTGAGACTCGGCAGGATGAACCCTTTGATGTTATCCCTCTTGAAGATGCAGATGACAATGCCATTCATCGCATCAGCTTTTGGTAATAGAACTTTTTCAGCCTGTAAAACAAGAAATAATTTTATGGCTGATGTTAAAAAAAAAATTGTTTGTGCTTATTTTCAGCAAGTATATATTCATTAAAATGTACTGCTGGATAATGTAAAAATACAATGGAAGATATATTATGATAAAACCAAAAGCATTTGATTTTGGTGTGGATATTATGGAAGTTTTTGATACTGTGTTTGACTGAGTAGTAGTCTTTTTCCTTACTCTCAAATTTATTTAACCTGAGCAAAAGATAAGTTATTTTGAAATCACAAATCATTTTCCCAGTTCTGCTACTTTGAGCAAGCACATAGAAGGGCAAAATGTACTTTTTCTTTTTTCATACTGTATCCAAATCCAAGCTTCTTGGTCATGATTCGAATTTATTTTATCTATTAAAATCTGGTATGAAAAATATGAAAACTGGCTTCTAGTTTTTTGAAAACTAAGGCAAATTTAGGTCCCACACCCCAGTGACTCTCCTCTCAATCACATGATGCTGAATTAGAATTAGATTGATCAAGTGCTGTGCCAGCAGAAACAAAGTCTTAGGTGCTGCAGATTGTCAGCGATTTCCTTCTCCAGTACATGGATAAATAAATCTGGAAACATCTACTCTCTCTCTCTCCCTACCTACCTACTGTATTTCTCTCTCTCTCTCTCTCTCTCTCTCTCTCTCTACCTACCTACCTACCTACCTACCTACCTACCTACCTACCTACCTACGTACCTACTCTCTCTCCCTACCTATCTACTGTATTTCTCTCTCTCTCTCTCTCACTCTATTTACCTACCTACCTACTCTCTCTCTCTCTTCCTACCTACCTACTGTATTTCTCTCTCTCTCTCTCTCTCTCTCCCCCTACCTACCTACTGTATTTCTTTCTCTCCCTCCCTCCCTCCCTCCCTCTATTTACCTACCTACTTTTTTTTTAAAAAAAAAGTGTCTTCAAACCTTGGTGCGTCTTATACTCTGGTGTGTCTTATACTCCGAAAAATACGGTAATATTGTTATAGTTTCTGTCTTTTTTCAAGAGTTTTCTTATCTGCCAGTTTTATCGTCATAGGATATTTCTTGTCTCATCTGCTGTGGCTAATAAGGAATATTGTTTTGATGGAAATACACAAGAATTGTTATCTAGGCAAAGTGGAGGGTTAAATATTTTTTAAACCCTGGAGGTGGCTTAGCTGGACCCCTTTCTGATTCACTAAGTATCACAAGGTTGGGGAGGGGGGAGTAGGAGGCACAGCTCAGTTAGACATGCAAGATTCTGTTATTATACCCAATCTAAATAAAATAGTTTTAGAACTCCTGTATTTTTTTTGGTTTAGTCTCCCTAGTGGGACTGACATGTGCCTTCTGTTTTATCCCCAGCATTAACAGATTTAGATATCAGCAGAGTATATGAAGAAAAACTGTCATGTTCATTTGTTAATTATTTTTTCAGCTCCACAGGTTTATTAATGTTTTGTGGGATGCATAATGGAATAGTGAGGATTTATCCCCTCCACAACAAAGAACTTTGTCTGGACAACATAGCTGGATATTGGTCATTTAGTTTGCATGATAATGACTATGGGCAAATTCAAGGGATATACTCAAGTTTTGATGATCGATTTCTAGTAACTTGTGGAGCAGATGGCAACATCTTTGCATATGACATTCTTTCTGCTGAGGAAGTTAAGAAAGTCCTGAAGACTAAAGTGCCCTCTCCAAGAGTAAGTAATAATCAGGAATATGTTACTCTACATGTTTTTCCTTATCACTGAAGTACCTGTTGATTGGGAAATATTCACAGTTTTCTCCATAACCTAGATCAGGGGTGTCAAACTCGATTCCATTGAGGGCCGCATCAAGGTTGTGTTTGACCTCGGGGGGGGGGAGATGGGAGGGCATGGCCAGCGTGGGCATGCCCAGCATGACATCACTCGTGTTAGGTAGGCCCCTGTGGTGGCCCAAGCACTCTGCCAGTGAAAATGGGCTTGCAAGCTCTATTTCCGGCTGGGATTGCCTTCTGCAACCCAGCAAAAACTGAGCTTGGGGGCGTTGTATGATCTTTAAGAGCTCTGTTTTTGGTTGGGATGGGCTTCTGCAAACCTATGCCAGTGAAAATGGAGCTCGGGGCCCCTTGCAAGCTCCATTTTTGACTGGGATGGCCTTTTGCAACCCATTGCCAGTGAAAGCAGAGCTTCGGGGGGGCACACACCGCCCTTGTGAGCTCCGTTTTTGGGTGTGATGGCCCATAGTTCTCTGCCAGTAAAATAGAGCTCTGGAGTGCCTCATGCAGCCTTTGCAAGCTCCATTTTTGCTGGCAGAGGCACCACTGGCCAGTCCTTGACTGTTTCCAGGGCGGCCCTGCAGGCCAGATCTAAACATTCCGCGGGCCGGATCTGGCCTTGACTTTTACACCCCGACCTAGACAGATAGAGAAGGTGGGGGTGGAGGGAAGACAGGCAGACACACAAGTACATAAACATATAATCATACACACAGGTAGTTCTTGATTTACCACCATAGCAAAGTCTAGAATTTCAGCTGTAAATCATAAATCAAAGCACCATGTGACCAAATGTGATTTTATAACCATTTTATGGTCGTAAATCAGGTCACCACACTTCACCACAGTGAAGTGAATCCTGTGGTTGTTAAATGAATCAAGCATATCCAATGAGCATTTTTTGTTGTTTCTGCTGGAAAACTACAAAACCTTCAAATTGCAAGTGACGTGCGGTGAGGATTACAGTTGGTGAGGCAAGAGCGCAGCAGCGGCGAGAAGCAACGTCCCCGCCGCTGTGTCCGACAGGCGTCTCACGTTTATGGTGGACATAAATGCGAGACACCTGTCAGACACAGTGGCAGGGGTTGCTTCTCTCGCCGCTGGCTCTGCCGCCTCGCCCCCCGCCTCCTCCATCCCCGCCGCGAGATGCCTGTGACACAGCGGCGGGGGTGCTGCTTCTCTCGCCGCTGGCTCTGCTGCCTCGCCCCCCCACCTCCTCCATCCCCACTGCTGTGTCTGACAGGCGTTTCGCGTTTATGGTGGACATAAATGCGAGATGCCTGTCGGACACAGCGGCGGGGACAGAGGAGGCAGGGGGTGAGGTGGCAGCCGGTGAAGAAAGGGGAGAGGAGGAGGAGGAAAGGGAGGGGAAGCAGGATGGGGCTCTCGGTGGGGGGGAGAGGGCTGCCCCTCTCTTCTCAAACAAGGCTGCCCTCGCTGCCTCTGCCCCTTTCCTATCTTCTCAAACAAACTCTCTCTCAAATTGAGAGAGAGTTTGTTTGAGTGAAGTGAAGAAAGAAACACACACACACAAATTACTCACAATAAAACATTACTTACAAATTACAATAATTTTGAATTCCTCCCACCTGCACCCTCCCTCTGACCTACATACCTTCCAGCTACGTCCAAAATGCAAGATTTGGTCTAGCCAGGGCCAGGCAGGCTAGGATAGTTGCTGCTAGAGTCACCATGTGGATGACTCTACTTAAATGTTTTTAAAAAGCCTCTAAGCCCTCTGCAGGAGGAGGCGAGAGAATCACGTGCCTCATTTGCATAAGAAATTTTTCACTTTTTAACCCTTGCTTAACTCTTAAAAGGTGAAAAATTCCTTATGCAAAGGAGGCCCATAGTTCTCTAGCCTCCCCCTACAGTTAACACTAAGCAGACTCAAAGTCACTGTGACTTGGAGTCTGGCAGCAACTACCTTGGCCTTTTTAATTATTTTAAAAAATTCTTTTCTTTTCCTCCTGAGACTGGTGAGGCCCCGTGTGTGACTGCACATCCCTGAATTGCAATCATATTACAATAGAACGCTGCAAATAGTTGCAAAGTGAGCCAGCTGCCAATTTCCTGGAATGCAATCTTGTGACTGCAGGAGGGGATTGGCCGTTGTAACTTCAAAGATAGTTCATAAACAACTTTTTAGAAGTCCATCATAACTACAAACTATCATTAAACAACCCATCATAGCTCAAGGACTACCTGTATATATTAGATTGCTTTGAAAGTGGGAAGAGAAGATTATTAGAAAAAATGCTATGATTTATAAAACATTGTGAGAACTTATCTGGAACTCCATCTGAGCTTTAGTTGTATCCATGCCACTTATAGGAAGAGCACTGACTATTTAATTTTATTCTTCTGTAGAGCGGATTAGACAAAGAGAAAGCGGCAGATGATATTGAGGATATTTATGCCTACAGGTAATGTTGCTAAAAGTGAGACATTAAGCTTTGTTTTTGGATACCTAGCTTTTTTTATGATTATTTTTATTTTTAATCAGTGCTTTGAAAAACAAATACATTTCTAAAATGAATCTGACTTTAATAAAGTCACTTTAGTGGCACTTGCAACTCCTATCGAGTTTCTACATTTCTCTAAAGCATTATACTTTCCTTTGCATTTTTCTCTGAAAATAACGTCTAGTGATCTCAGTAGTTCTGTATCTATAATTTTAAATATTTGCATTTTAATGTGAGAATTTTTTTAGATTTAACTTGTTAAAAACGCAAGTGTGGATCTATTTCCAAGGATGGAAGAGGAAATGCTGATTTTTTTGGCCACATAACCTTACACACTATATGTCCAGGAACTAACATTATAAAACTTCTACTTTTATATTTTAGCCATTTAATTACCAGAAATACATTTAATTATCAGGTTAAGAGAGGTTTATGGGCGGATGCCAAGTAAAATGCATCCTCAGGAGAGTACCAAGCTACTAATCCATGCTGGCTTAGGAATTCGGGGAGTTGAAATCCACAAGTCATAAAAGGGCCAAGGTTCCCCACTCCTGCTCTAGAAGGAAGGATCAAAGCATGAAGATTCAGAATGCTACATGGAGACTTCTTGCCTTCCATTCTTTGGGCTCAGTGGTCTTCTACATTCACATTTAATTATGAGGGTGGAAGTTTGTTCTCCAAGCTTGTGGGTTGGTTTCCAAACGTTTCATTACCAGGCTAAGTAAAATCTGCAGAATTTAGGGGATGTCAGCATCAATGTTCTTCTGCTTATAAGGGCTCTGTGTGGTCAGTAGATCTTGTGATGGGGAGGTCACGTCAGATGAGGGCCATTTGGAAGTGAAGTGTTGGTTGTGGGAGGTTGTATGGGTTGGGTGAGGGTTGGTGCCGTCACTGGTTGGCTGCACAGTTGATTTGAATTCTAAAGGGTTTGTAGGCTGGTTGTAGGTCGATGTGTCTGTTGATGGAATTGCTTGTGGAGTGTCAGGTTTGAATAAACTTGTGTGTGTAGTGGGTGGTAGCATGGCCAATGATTCTTGTATTGCTCCAATCAAATTGGTGCTGTTCAGTGTCAGTGTGGGTAGAGATTAGAGATTTGGGATTGTAGTCATTGACTGCCAGCTGATGTTCATGGATTCTAACTAAGTTCATCTGTTAATGCCAACCTAATCAATATACTATATGAAAACATGTTTTGTTTTTACAGTATATTAAATAAATAAAACTCTGTTTAAAAGATTCTACTCAATATAATTATAGATTCCCTTCCACCTAATGAAACATGTTGGTTTTCTTTAGTCAAGCTTCATAATTTCACTGTATATTGGTTCCTGAAAAGATTAATGATTCTGTCTCCTTTTCATGTTTTTCCTCACATTTCTAGTATTGAGAATGCCAAGCAAAAAAAAGAACATGATCAGATAATGAAAATTGCAGAACGCAAGAAATATTTGAAGAGACAAGAACTGATTTTATTGAGGCAGGAATTTCAGGAATTGCTCCGGATCAATAGTGAATTGCCCAAACACATGCAGCTCCTTAGAGAAGTATGTATGTTGATTTCTTTTCCTCATGGGGAATAGGGGTTAATGTAGGGTTACATCTTGAGTTTTACGATGAGTTAGTGTTTATTTTTTATTGTTGGGTTCCACTCTATATTCTTAACTGCTTAAATTGTTTTTTAGCATACATAAAACAACCAACCTTAACATTGTTGGACAAAGTTATTCAGTTTTGTTCCATACCCAGATACATCAGATATACAGCTTGGGTATTTTAGATTTTGCCCTTGCTCAAAGGCAACTGTGGCAACAAGCACAAATTTTTATTGGACATCAGTTGGATCCATTTCTAGATCAGAAGTCCTGCTCATTGGTCACTTCCCATCTGGGTTATTACAATGTGTTCAACTTGGGGTAGCCCTTAAAGACACTCAGAAACTGCAACTTATTCAGAATGTTGTGGCATGGATACTTCAGTGCACTGTGTAATATTATTAATGGGAGAATTTCATTGACTTCCAGTAGATATTCAGAATGCTGGTTGTCATATACAAAGCCCTTCATAGCAAAGGGCAGGCTTATCTCAGGGTGAGCATACTCTGCGTTCCTTTAATTAAAGAATGCTATCAGACGGGATGAAGGAAAGTATGTTTTTTTCTGTTATTGTACCTCTCTTGCGAATTTCCTGAAATTCAGATGGCTCCAACACTGCTGGTCTTTCCAAAGGTGTTAAAAATATGGATTTTCTTCCAGGACACTAGGCCAGGAAGTAAAGGGAACCTTTTTATTTGTGAGTTTGATATGGATATGTGTATGGCCCCAGGCATGATTTGTTTTGCTGTTCAATTTGTTGTTCACTATCCAGAATCTTCTTAGATGAAAAAGACTTTCTGTTCATGACTGCACTGTACAATTTTGTCAAAATTTGACAGATGTATAAGCTGTATATGAATTACTTTATCATAATACATACAATCTATCAAATATTGGATGCTTAAGCATTTAATGAAAGCAGGCCAAAGAATAGCTCTTTGGGACAAATAAATAAATATGCAATTGATAGCGTGCAGTTCATTATCTTAGGAACCTGATGTAATTCAAGTCACTTACATAATGACAGTGACTTGGTTCCCCTGTGATGCCCTTGGTCTTTTAACCGTATTTGTAGAGCAAAATGTACATTATGACTTTTGAAAGATAACAATAGGAAAATAATGGGAGATACTAGGCTATCTTGGTAATGCGAGCATTTAGTGAGATACTTGTAAAGAAAATTTAGTGGGTATAGTTTGATTAACGCAAGAGATGAATAATATGACAGCTAGTGAATAAGTACTTTTGCCAAATAAACCTAAACCTTATAATGTAACATCTAGAACTTCTTAAAACTCCAGAAAATGCAATGAACACAACAATATTATTGAAAGACTGCTGTTCGCTTACTATCAGGGGTGAGTTGCTGCCAGTTCGGCCTGGTTTGGCCGAACCGGTAGTAGAAATCAGACCTGGGTTGCAGAACCGGCAGCGACCCAGGCCTGACACGCTCCCAAACTGGTTCCCTAACCTCTCCTGATATCGCCACCATGTTGGATTTTAGTGACTGCGCATGCGCAGTTCACTGTAAATTGTTCTGCACATGCATGCAGAACAATTTCCATTGAACAGCACACACACACGCAGCATTGTGTGCAGGTCGCGAACCAGTAGTAAAACTGGCAGCAGCCCACCCCCTGCTTACTATGTATTAATGAACCATTTTTGTGAGCCTTTGAATTACAAAGCAGTCTTCCCTAGCATGGGTCTTTCAATGCTGTGGATCACAACACCCATCTTCCATTACTATTAACCTTGCTAGTTGACAAGAAGGCATATAAATACCAAA